CAATCCTACTTCGTAGTGATACTGCCTCAGAAACCCAAGGAGGGGTCGCTATGAGTCGGGGCCGACTCGACGGCAAACAACAACAACAACAACAACTCGGGAAAGGATCAAAACTGGAGATCTTGAATAGAGTGGGAGGAAAAACGTGGAACAAAATCTAAAAACACAATGACCAGAATTACTGGTTGGATAGAGTCTGGAAGGACCCCAATACTATGGTCCTGGGATACACTTTGAGCCTGGAATAAAACTCACTCCCAGGGGCTGGCTCTCAGCCCAATAGTAAACATGACGTACACACAGACCACTCAACCCAGGGTGATGCACCCACATACTCTATGGAGATGCATGCCTTGGAGCAATCGACCACAGGGCATCAGAGGGGGGGAAGAAAAGATGGAGAACCAACAACACACCATCATTCACTGAAAGGTAGAAACCAAGACAAGGATATTGGATATAATGTAATAAGCAAAAGCAGAAGAAATGGTAATCATCCAGCAGTCAGGGAGACAGGCAGTTAGCATAGGACCTGCATTAGGAGGTTGGAAGGAATTCTTTTCTCCCTGGAGAGGAAGAAAATGACATATTCTAGTTGTCATTTTCCTTCCATGGAGATTTTCAAGTTTTTGAGAAGACTATTCTTATGTAGCTTTTTTGTTGTGAAAGATTATTTCATTGAGGAAATTTCAAGTGAAGCAGTGATAAGAAGGTGCTATTTCACATTTTGATCATTTGGAAGCAATCAGAACAAGACTGGTAGGAAAGGCGCTGCTGGAGGAGTGACTTCTAACAGAGGAGGGAGAAAGAGCTGTGAAGCACTACAAACACATCTTCCTTTCACCCATCCCTCCTCAGAGAGATCCTGCAAGAGATTCAGCGTCTACGTCTGGAACATGAGCAGGCCTCCCAACCCACTCCTGAGAAGGCCCAGCAGAATCCCACATTGCTGGCAGAGCTGCGGCTCCTGAGGTAAGTCCGAATGCTACACCATTGTCCCCAAACTGTAATCTACTTCTGTAGGAATATTTTTCTCAGGAAACCAAATTAATGGGATAGGATCAATTTATCAATATAGTTAGTCCTATTAGAACAGACAGCTCAAGACAGTTACTCATTCAGTTATTGCTTCATATATTTGGGTTCCACTATTAACCACTCTGGGAACTTCAACCATCATTACAGAGCTAGTTAAATACCAGTCTCCCAGCTCCAGGGCCAACAGTGCAGTGTTAATATTTTTGAGAATGCTTTAAGAAAACCATGTGCTATAGTTCATCTTCTTACCTTGCTAATTAATCTGACTTAAGAGACTCTTGGCAAGAGTAGTGCTGTCTCTTTCCTATGACTATATTCCCATGGGACTTCATACACAGAGCAAGTCCCCGCTGAAGAGAAGAGTGCTTCATACCCACATCATCTGAAACATGAAATCAAGTGGGAGTCCCTTGTACCATGGTTATGATGCCTTCCTACTTCAACATAAATACAAATATCTTAGGAAGAGAGGAACTAAGGAAGTAGATCAGAATTGAGATAGAGAATCCAAGATACAGCTATTGGTCTCTTCCCATCAGGAGCAAAGGAGAGTAAAGGAAACCAAGCACTCAAGGGAGAAATTAGCCACAGGACTAAAGGCCCACCCACAACCCACAGCATCTTCTAGCCTGAGACCAGAAGAACTAGATGGTGTCTCGCACAACTACCAATAGTTCTGACCCAGGATACGATAGAAAGTCCCAGTTAGAATGGGAGAAAAATGCAGAACAAAACTAAAAAAAAAAGACCAGACTGTATAGTAGAGCTGACAAGGGACAAGATTGTAGTAACTTCTTGGTCACATCCAGCTACCCAGAGGGAGCGAGCAGTTGAACCTGTGGGCTCAGGACCATAGTCACAGGGGACATCAAGCTCAATTGGCATAACATACTACACAAAACATTGCTCCATCTCCTACTTAGGTGAGTAGCGACTGGAATCTCTTGCAAGCAGCCATCTAGATGCTACAATGGGTCTCTGCTCGTCCAGAGCAAAAAAGAATGAGGAAAACCAAAGATTCATGGTGTGGTAGTTTTGTTTGTGTGTCAACTTGGCTGGGCCTGGTTGAGTGGCTGGGCAGCTGGTGGTAGTTAATCCCCATGAGGAGATTGGCAATCAACTCCATGGTGGGATCTACCACAAACAGCTGGGTAGCTGCCTTTGGATATGTGGTCTGCTTCCTGAATATAAGGAGAAGCCTTGGGAACGGTCTCTAGCCTATGGCATGCTTGGACCCTGCATGTAGCCATGTCGTTGCTCAGCAGCCTGCTGTGTTCTGCTGCCCTTGGGACTTACAATGGACTTAAGCTAATGGCCTGCCATGTGGTCTGGTAACATCGGGACTATGCCTTTTTACTTGTCAACCTTGGGACTTCCCGCCTCAGCAGCCAGTAGCTGTTTGAGTGAAGAAATGCCTTTAGCTCCAGTGGGCCGGGAGCAGGAGGCAGAGCTGGACCCCAAGGTTGAGGGGCTTTCACCTAGCCCCTAGAACCTGGCACTTAGAACTTGGGCTTCTAGCCTCCAAATATAAGAATAAACTGCTTGTTAAGGCCATCCCATTTGTGGTATATTTCTTGTCAGAGCTGCCCTAGGTAACCAGAACAGAATTTGGTACCAAGAGAGTGGGGTGCTGCTCTGACAGATACCTAAAATATGGAAACAGAAGTGGAGACCAAGGAAATGGAAGCAGAGCTGCCTCAGCCTGAAAGGGTAGGAGGACCATGGCCTTTGGGGATGGAACAATCACAGGCCCCTAGAACCAGGCCTTCACCAACTTGGTTCTGGAGTGTGGGGCTGCTCGTTCATGTGAACCAGTGGGATGGAGCCATACCACTGCCCAAGAGTAAGGGGGTGGGGCTGCCATGCCCAAGAGGGAAAGAAATGGGGCCTGCCAGGCGAAAGGGGTGAGGTTGCCACTTAGAGGCATTAGGAGACTGGAGCCACCCAGTGAGGAGACCTGTACAGATGCCACCCAATAAAGATTTGTACAGATGCCAAGTTGACAAGGGGTGGAATTGTGGTAGTTTGGTTTGTGTATCAACTTGGCTGGGCCTGGTTGAGTGGCTGGGCAGCTGGTGGTAGTTAATCCCCATGAGGAGACTGGCAATCAACTCCATGGTGCGATCTACCACAAGCAGCTGAGTAGCTGCCTTTGGGTACGTGGTCTGCTTCCTGTATATAAGAAGAAGCCTTGGGAATGGTCTCTAGCCTATGGCACACTTGGACCCTGCATGTAGCCGTGTCATTGCTCAGCAGCCTGCCATGCTTTGCCAACCTTGGGACTTACAATGGACTTAAGCTAATGGCCTGCCGTGTGGTCTGGTAACATCAGGACTATGCCTTTTTACTTGTCAACCTTGGGGCTTCCAACCTCAACAGCCAGCAGCTGTTTGAGTGAAGAAATGCCTCTAGCTCCAGTGGGCCAGGAGCAAGAGGCAGAGCTGGACCCCAAGGTTGAGGGGCTTTCACCTAGCCCCTAGAGTCTGGCACTTTGAATTGGACTTAAAGCCCCCAAATTATAAGAATAAACTCCTGTTTGTTAAGGCCATCCCATTTGTGGTATATTTCTTGTCAGAGCAGCCCTAGGTAACCAGAACACATGGAAACTATTAGTCCAAGCACTGGTACACCATGCGATCCACAGCCTATACAACTATGAGACCAGAAGAACTAGGTAGTGCCCGGCTACCACTGTCAACCACTCAGAGAGGGATCTATGTAGGAGATCCTGGATAGAGAGAGAGAACAATGTGAAACAAAACTCGAAACCATTTGGGACAAAAAAAGGGGGGGGGGGACCAGGTTTGCTGGTCTGATAGAGCCTGGTATAACTACTGAGACTATGACCCCTAGCTGCCGTTCAGGTCTGGAATTGAACCCACTCCTGTGGCTTCCAGCCAAACAAAAGACAGGCATATGAGTTGAACATTTACCTGAAGTAGATACACTCCTTGGAGGGGACAATCATGGGAGACAGAAGGGCTTTTTATGCATAGGGAGACAGCTCAGGGGACAGGAGTGCATGGAGGGATGGACACAGGGAAGAGGTAACTATTAGGAGGAAGTGGGAAGGGAGCTGTGCATTGGGGTAAATTGTAGTCAGTGTCATGAGACTGTGTGTGAACTGCTATATTGAAAGTGAATTTGCTCTGTATACTTTCACCCAAATCACAATTTAAAAAAAAAAAAAAAGATCGGACTTATTGGACTTACAGACACTAGAGGAACCTTCGAAACTGTTTGCTCTAATATGCCCTTTTACTCTGGAACTGAAGCCATTTCTGGAAGACACCTTTCAACCAAATAATGGATTGGCCTGTAAAATAAACAATAACACCTGTGAGGAACATGCTCCTTTAAACAATCAACTATAGGAGACGAAACAATCAGCATTTACACAAAAGCACAGATGGGGACCACCAGTTATCTGTCAGTTTGTCACTGTGGTGGCTTGTGTGTTGCTGTGATGTTGGAGGCTATGACATTGGTATTTCAAATACCAGCAAGGTCATCCATGATGGCCAGATTTCAGCTTTGCTTCCAGACTAAGAAGGAGGACCTGGCAATCTGCTTCTGAAAAAATCGACCAGTGAAAACCTTATGAATAGCAGCAGGACACTGTCTGATATAGTGCCAGAAGATGAGCTCCCCAGGTTGGAAGGCACTCAGAATATGACTGGGGAAGAGCTGCCTTCTCAAAGTAGAGTCAACCTTAATGACGTGGATGGAGTAAAGCTTTCAAGACCTTCATTTGCTGATGTGGCATGACTCTAAATGAGAAGAAACATCCATTAATAATTGGAACATGGAATGTACAAAGTATATAAATCTACAAAAATTTAATGAAATGGAACACATAAAAATTGATATTCCAGGCATTAGTGAGCTGAAATGGACTAGTATGGACTATTTTGAATCAGAAAAAATATATGGTCTACTACGCTCGGAATGACAGATTGAAGAGGAATGGTATGGTATTCATTGTCAAAAAGAACTTCAAGATCTATCCTGATGCACAGTGCTGTGAGTGAAGGGATTATAACCATACCCTGAAAGGAAGACCAGTTAATACAACTACTATTCAAATTTATGTACCAACCATGAATGCCAAAGATAATGAAATTGAAGATTTTTACCAACTTCTACAGTCTGAAATTGATCAAACATGTAATCAGGATGCATTGATATTTGCTGGTGATTAGAATGCGAAAGTTGGAAACAGAAGAAAAATAGGTAGCTGGAAATTGTGGCTTTGATGATAGAAACAACACCAATCTCATGATAGAACTTTTTAAGACCAATGAGTTACTCATTGCAAATACTTTTTTCATCAAAATAAATGGCAACCATTCCTGTGGAACTCACTGGAATCAAATTGACTACATCTGTGGAAAGAAATGATGAAGCAGCTCAATATCATCAGTCAGAATAAGCCCAGAGACCAATTGCAGAAAGACCACCAAATGCTCATGTTCGAGTTAATGGTGAAGCTGAAGAATATTAAAATAAGTCAACGAGAACCAAAATATGACCTTGAGTATATCCTGACTGACTTTAGTGACATCGCAAAAATAGATTTGATTCATTGAAAATTAATTACTAAAAACCAAATAAATTTTGGGATGACATCAAGGACATCATACATGAAGAAAGCAAAAGGTCATTAAAAAGACAGGAAAGAAAGAAAAGAACAAAGTGGTTGTAGGAAGAGACTCAGAAACTTGCTGTTGAATATACAGTAGTGAAAGAGAATGGAAGAATTGATGAAGTAAAAGAGCTGAACAGAAGATTTCAAAGGGCAGCTTGAGAGGACAAAGTCAAGTATTACAATGAAATGTGAAAAGGCCTGGAGTTAGAAAACCAACAGGGAAAAACACACTTAGCATTTCTCAACCTGAAAGAACTGAAGGAAAAATTCAAGCCTCAAGTGTCAG